GTCAACAATACTACAGCGAGAATAAAAGTTACGCCTTCTTTCTTTGCGTGAACATTTGGGCGGCGTTATGCAAATCTTCCCACATCGTGAGGTAGATATGTGGAGGCGTGTTAGAACAAGCCGTTTTAGGTAGGTGTGGCTAACTGAATTTTTATAAAGAATATCTCTTTGGATTTGAGACTTTAGTCTTTTGTTACTTTACAGATCTTCTTTATGCACCAAGAGCTTGTAACACTCCAAAGAGAAAGGAAAAATTGAAATCGCATCATATGACCCCTTTAAAAGTTTTCCCATTGTAACAGCTTATCCCATATAATGGGGCACATTGTCACAAAAAGTGACTGTGTCCTGTGCACAAGTTGAAATAGTTAGTTAGGTTTCTGGCTGTCAATGCTTCAAGAAATTAAGCTAATGATTTTCAGAATAAACCTATTCTGAGAAATATTCAACAAAGTAATCGTGACACATACATACATTAAATTTGATACATCATTAATTAAACATCATTCTCCATTGTGTATTTTTATGTAATTGTGGTTACAGAGTTGCAGTATAAGCTGATAATGGACCTTCCAAAGTCAAGCAGTAAAGGTTGAGTGACACTTCTGATCTCTCACATCTTCTCAAACAAAACCACTGTAGACAATACAGATATACTGGGACATGTTTAACTTGCACCAAAATTCCATGACAGGATCCAGCCGTAGAATCTGTAAGCACCATACAGATAGCAACAAGTTCCAGAGAGACAGAAGGAACTATTTGGAACAGACTTTGGAGAAAACCTGCTCACCACAAGCCACAGAGATTAGGTGCTTACAAAACTACATATAAGATATTATTATTATTTAATATTATTTTTAATTTGTAATTATTTTATATAATTATTATTCAATAATATTATTATTATTATAAAGAAGATAGGGGATACATAGATTAGTAACATTCTTCTCATACTTACAGCAGTCATTTACAATGTAGAGAAACCAGATCAAATTCCCTCACAGCCGACAGAACAGAAGCTCCTTCAGAAGCCAAAGCAGGGTTCATCACTTCTCTAAAGCCTCTAATGATCCAGTGTAATCCATCTCAGGCTCCTCGACCTCCCAGCCTACAGGAATGTGAGGTCATCATACGCCAGCTGTACAACGCTAACAGCCTGCAGTCCCAGGAGGTGAGATCATATATTTCTTAATGTCTCTCAATATATGATGTAATCCATTTTAATTTGTCGCCTCTCAGATCCTACACGTGAAAGCTGTTCTCAAAGATATTGTATTCAACAAGAAAATAACTGCAGAAAATTACATTTTGACAAAGGCTTATCTTGCTGATGGTAAAAGGTAACTTCTTCATCACTACATTCCATTTTTGCATCTCAGAAAGCCTGACAAGACAATGTCCCAGTTATTTCACCATTTCCTTTGATTTTATATATATATAAAGTGGTGTGAAAAAGTGTTGGCCCCCTTCCTGATTTCTTTTTTTTATGTTTGTCACACTTTAATGTTTCAGATCATCAAACAAATTTAAATATTAGTCAAAGATAACACAAGTAAACACAACATGCAGTTTTTAAATGAAGGTTTTTATTATTAAGGGAAAACAAAATCCAAAACTACATGGCCCTGTGTGAAGAAGTCTTTGCCCCCCCCCCATCACACCTGAGTTCAATTTCTCTAGCCATAGCCAGGCCTGATTACTGCCACACCTGTTCGCAATCAAGAAATCTCTTAAATAGGACCTGCCTGACAAAGTGAAGTAGACCAAAAGATCCTCAAAAGCTAGACATCATGCCGAGATCCAAAGAAATTCAGAAACAAATGAGAAAGAAAATAATTGAGATCTATCAGTCTGGAAAAGGCTATAAAGCCATTTCTAAAGCTTTGGGACTCCAGCAAACCACAGTGAGAGCCATTATTCACAAAAAGCAAAAACATGGAACAGTGGAGAACCTTCCCAGGAGTGGCCAGCCGACCAAAATTACCCCAAGAGCACAGCGACGACTCATCCAAAAGGCCACAAAAGACCCCACAACAACATCCAAAGAACTGCAGGCCTCACTTGCCTCAGTTAAGGTCAGTGTTCATGACTCCACCATAAGAAAGAGACGGGGCAAAAATGGTCTGCATGGCAGAGTTCCAAGACGAAAACCGCTGCTGAGAAAAAAAAAAAACATAAAGGCTCGTCTCAGTTTTGACAGAAAACATCTTGATGATCCCTAAGACTTTTGGGAAAATACTCTGTGGACTGACGAGACAAAAGTTAAAACTTTTTGGAAGGTGTGTGTCCCATTACGTCTGGCGTAAAAGTAACACTGCATTTCAGAAAAAGAACATCATACCAACAGTAAAATATGGTGGTAGTGTGATGGTCTGGGACTGTTTTGCTGCTTCAGGACCTGGAAGACTTGCTGTGATAAATGGAACCATGAATCCTGACCTGAATCCTATTGAGATGCTGTGGCATGACCTTAAAAAGGCGGTTCATGCTCGAAAACCCTCCAATGTGGCTGAATTACAACAATTCTGCATAGATGAGTGGGCCAAAATTCCTCCACAGCGCTGTAACGGACTCATTGCAAGTTATCGCAACGCTTGATTGCAGTTGTTGCTGCTAAGGGTGGCCCATCCAGTTATTGGGTTTAGGTGGCAAACACTTTTTCACACAGGGCCATGTAGTTTTGGATTTTGTTTTCCCTTAATAATAAAAACCTTCATTTAAAAACTGCATGTTGTGTTCACTTGTTATCTTTTACTAATATTTAAATTTGTTTGATGATCTGAAACATTGCAGTGTGACAAACATGCAAAAAAAATAAGAAATCAGGAAGGGGGCCAACACTTTTTCACACCACTGTATATACATACATACACACGCCACTAGTCCCATTATTTTCCCATGATGATTTTAGGTATTATTGTAAACATGAATAAATATAATTTTGTATAATTATTTACTTTAAATTGCAAACAAAAAAAATATGATATACATACTTTAAAATGTATATATTACATTATGGAAAAAAAGTTTCTGAGAATGACTTCACAAAGTTTGGAGCAAATTTTCTGAGATACAGTCATGGCCAAAAGTTTTGGCAGTGACATACATTTTGTGTTTTGCAAAGTTTGCTGCTTTAGTATTTGTAGATTATTTTTCCACATGTTTCTATTGTATACTGAAAAACAATGATAAGCATATCATAAGTTGGCTTTTATTGGCAAAAAAATATAATGAGTCAATATTTACAGTGTTGACCCTTGTTCTTCATGTCCTCTGCAATTCGCTCTGGCATGTTGGATATTAGCTTCTGGGCCAAATCCTGACTGATGGCAATCCCAATCCAGAGTTATCACAATTTGTGGGCTTCTGCTTGGCCACTCGCCTTTTGAGAACTGACCACAGGTTCTCTATGGGATTGAGATCCAGGGAGTTGCCTGGCTACGGATCCAAAATGCCAATGTAATGATCTTCGAGCCACTTCTTTATCACTCTTGCTTTGTGACATGGTGTTCCATCATGCTGGAAAATGCACAGATCATCACCAAATTGCTCATGGATCGTTGGAAGAAGTCGCTCTTGCAGGACGTTTTGATACCATTCTTTATTCATGGCAGTGTTTTTGGGCAGAATTATAAGAGAGCCCACTCCCTTGGTTGAAAAGCAACCCCACACATGGATGGTCTCAGGATGCTTCACTGTTGGCACGTCCCAGGACTCATGGTAGCGTTCACCTTTTCTCTTCCGAACAATCGATTTTCCAGATGTCCCAAACAGTCGGAAGGGAGCTTCATCAGAGAAAATAACTTTGCAGCAGTCTTCTGCTGTCCAATCCTTGTACTTCCTGCAGAATTTCAGTCTGTCCTTGATGTTTTTCTTGGAGAGAAGTGGCTTCTTCGCTGCCCTTCTTGTCACTAGGCCGTTGTCCAAAAGTCTTGGCCTCACTGTGCGTGCAGATGCTCTCACACCAACCTGCTGCCATTCCTGAGCAAGCTCTGCACTGCTGGTGACACGATTCCGTAGCTGACCCTTTAGGAGGAGACGGTCCTGGTGCTTGCTGGACACTCTGGGATGTCCTGGAGACTTCTTCACTGCAGTCGAACCTCTCTACTTGAAGTTCTTGATGATCCGGTAAATGGTTCTTTCAGCTGCAATATTCTTTGTAGCAATTTCCTTGCATGTGAGGCCATTTTGATACAAAGCGATGATGGCTGCACGTGTTTCTTTGGAGGTAAGCATTGCTAACAAGAACACAATGATTGGAAGCACTTCTTCCCTCCTTTTATAGCAATCAGTCTGCTCTTACAATGATTTTACCGGTCTAGTACTCATTCACACTTTCACATGAACTGAAATGTTAGCTGGTCATTTTGTGTCAGGATAAAAAAACTGAAATTAGCTTTTTTGTGTGTGTGTGTGTGAAAAGTTCTTTTTTTGGCCAATGAAGCTTTTAGCAATTATTTAAAATGCGTCTGATCACTCTGCACAATAATCTAGAAATAATGTGAATGAACACCAAAACAGCTTAAGCAGCAAACTTTGCAAAACAACATTTATGTCACTGCCAAAACTTTTGGCCATCCTGATGGCTTTTAACCCTTTACCTTAATTTTTTTTGGCAGAGCTGACAAATCAGACACATTTCCTCAGCTTTCTCTCCAAACACTGCCTGAAGGACTGTAAGTCATTGCTTGTAAATATCTGTATATTATATATATATTTTGTTTCCAAGCTGCCTTTACATAAACAGTTCAGCTTTGGAGATATCAACCTTTGTCCTGTTACTATTTGAACAGACCCGTGTCTCAGGCTAGTAAAGCAGAGAAAGTGATCCTCCCTGCCCTCAAACAGACCCTCAATAACATAGCAGATAGACACAGGAGGACTCGGGCTGTGCAGAGAAATCGTCTACAGAGGACTATGCGCTGAAGGACCAGTCATGTGGTTACATGACTACTTGTATATGACTTCTGTGCCACACATTTCAGATTGAAACAGCAGTTTTTATGTCTTTATTAATGGAGCAATGCACAAACAGTTAAGGCCTTAGTGTACTAGACTAAACAAAATAGATTATAATTCATGTAAATAAAGAAAGTAAGTATTAATATATTGCCATCATTCCATAGAGGTGCAAGGAGTATACTGGGCTGCTAGTGCTGATGGGAATACATTTCTAAGCAGCTGAAAGGCAAGCCTGCCTCACGCTTTGAGCCCAGGTGTTCAGCAGCGCTGTCACCGAGTGCTTGTCAGGAAGCTGAAGGAGTTTAGAGGTCATGTTCTTATGCACAGTCTGCAAAAAGGGGTTGGCCTCTGAAAACAGAGAGCGGAAGGTTGGGAAGTGATGAGTTAATACGGTTCACAACCTATGGGTTTTCATTTAAATTGGGAGCTTAAGAGTAAAAGGCAACCTAAGATAGCATGCTGACATTTAATGCACAAATCAGGCTTAGACTCACCATACTGCTGACAGTCATCTTCCCAGTGGGGGCTCTGATCGGGGTAGTCTGCTGGAATGCTCAGCTGAAGAGGGGGAACACTGGGAAGATTTTTATCATCTAGACAGAGACAGTGGCAGGAGTGAATAGTCAATCATTATTTTTAAAGGGCACATATAGTGGGCAGGGGGTCTGAACTGACCTAGTTTACATATGAGATGCACCGTTCCATTGTTACTGCAAAAGGACTGGTCCAGATTGACCAAGAATTTGGAATTAAGCCGAGCTACCTCCCCTTGAAGTATGTTAGGGATGGTCTGGCGCTCGTCCTCTTCCAGCTTCCGTTTACGGTAAGGAATTGAGGGGCCCCTGAAATGAAAAAATATGTATTTTAACGGGGTGCTATTATGCTTTTTCACTTTTTCAACTTTAGTTAGTATGTAATGTTGCTGTTTGAGCATAAAAAAAAAAAAGATCTGCAAAGTTACAAAGCTCAAAGTCCACTTCAAAAGGAGATATTTTATTTAACAGAAATCACTTATCAAAAACTACAACGAACGACTTGTTTGGACTACAACGCATATTTTCCAGGATTTGTGATATCACAAATATCAAAGAATGGGAGGAGACCTGGTTGAGCTGCACGAGTGTTATCACTATATCGGAGACACACTAGCTTTCCCCCAGGCAGATGAACTTAGAGTGGTTACAAACATCCGGGTTTAAATCGCACTCAAATTGATTTGATTTTGAGCAATATTTACACTTAAGCTTGCAGGCAGCTATGGTTAGGGGCATGACATTTCCCGACTAGGCGCCGAGTGCTGCCAATCACAGCACACACTGGCCCAGCTAACCAATCACAGCACATTTCGTATTTCAGAAGGAGGGCCTTCATTTGATACAGGAACTGTTAGAGCCACTCATGCCAGACTGGGGAGAGAGGTGTTGTAATAATGTAAAATATGTGAAAAATAATGTGTTTTTCGAACAACCTTGTATGAGAGCCTGTTCTAGTACACACCCAAAACAAAATCAAGACTTTGTAAAAGAGCATAATAGGACCCTTTTAATGTTTAAATTTAGGAGTTAAGTCTGGGTGGTATATACCATACGTTGCATTTAATTTTTAAACTCGAAACTAACATGGCTATGTAATATAAAATAACTACATGTTGCTGTACTCCATTATGAAATTACTCATGTTTGCGATTTAAAATTTATAATAGACATTGTCATTCAAAAGTTTGATCATTATGTTCATTATACATTCATTCAACAATGACACATTTTATCAAGTGACAGTAAAGACATTTACAGTGTTACAAAAGATTTCGATTTCAACTAAATGCTGTTCTTTTAAAGTTTTTATTCTTCAAAGAATCCTTATAAAACCTTAAAGGAATCCTTAAAAATCAGTTTATACAAAAATAATACAAAACTCAACTGCTTTCAACATGAATGATAATCAGCATATTAGAATCATTTCTGAAGGATCATGTGACCCTGAAGACTAGTGAAAATTCAGCTTTGCCAAAGCAAAAAATTACATTTCAAAATATAGCGAAATAGAAGTTATTTTAAATTGTAATAATAATTTTACAATATTGCTGTTTTTCTGTTTTTTGATGAAATAAAAGAAACGTTCAAAAACATCTGAAAGGTACTGTTCATTATATACCACAAAAGCAATGCACTGATGATTCACTGAGGAAGATACCTGACATAAATTAGAGAAAATATATAATTTTTTTCGGCTGTTGATCTTACGTGATTGGGGGTCCATGAATTGCCGTCATAGCAGGAGCAAACGTGCGGTAAAGTGAATGGTTGAAAACTGGGGAGCGGATGTTGGCCAAGACAGCATCCAGCAGCGGCTGGCATAGGTATTGCTTTTTGGTACAGGGCACTGGAGGAGGGGGAGGAGTCGGCTGCAAACCAAAGTCAGTCATCATTGTAGAAATTGGCTGAACAATGCAACTTAACTTTGACTCCCTATCTTGAAATTAAAGTTACTTACTACTGCCATGTCATTCTTTAGTTTCTCCAATGCGATTTCACACTTCTGTAGTGTTTTAAGTGGACATCTAGTGGAGGACAGCAATAACCTTAACCACAAGCCAAAGATCTGACACGGAGACGATGTTCAACATGTCTGCTTTCTTACCTTGTGTTGGGGTCAGTCAAAATATTCAGCAAACTTTTCATTTTGCTCAAATCCTTCTTCCTATCTGTAAAGACCAAACATAAACCATGATCTTTAAGATTAAATGGGGGAGAAAAAAAATCAGCATCAAGAGAAAAAGACTCCAGTACCTTCATTTTTGTCTATTTTGTTAATCATCCTGCGTAGTGGCTCAATATATTTTGACAGCTGCTTCAGTTTGTCCATGTAAAGCTGGTCCTCAGATTGTGAGGCCCCTGCTGGGCTCATCACAGAGCTTGGATTGCCTGTAATCCGAAAAATCAAACCAATCAAATAATTATGGTCGCAACAATTTAAATTCTGGCCATCTCTGATAAGCAGATAATTATTTTTATGTCATGGTCGATAACCAATAAATGGCAAAAATGTTTACTTCAATTAAGAAAAAAAATAAAAATCATTCATTTTAAATGCTACAACTGAATTTAGGCATCACAAAATTGTAATGTGAAGTTTCACTTTGAGATTTGCTAAAAAAAAATTACATTTAAGAGTGTTATTAAATTGATAAGTTTTTAAAGATTAACTTTAAGGCCCTGTCCACACGAACGCGGTTATTTTTAAAACTGCAGCTTTTTCTACGCGGTTAGGCCGTTCGTCCACACGCAAACGCTGTACCAGTTCACTGAAACCAAACATTTTTGAAAACGCCTGACAGGGTGAAGATTTTCAAAAACTCCGGTTGCAGTGTTATCGTGTAGACAGCGAAACCGGAGTTTTTGGCTTGTGACGTCAGAGCATGTGCTGTTATCTCCGCCTACTGGAGACTTTTTCAGGCGAATTGCCGTCATAGCAGGAGCAAACGTGCGGTAAAGTGAATGGTTGAAAACCGGGGAGCGGATGTTGGCCAAGACAGCATCCAGCAGCGGCTGGCATAGGTATTGCTTTTTGGTACAGGGCACTGGAGGAGGGGGAGGAGTCGGCTGCAAACCAAAGTCAGTCATCATTGTAGAAATTGGCTGAACAATGCAACTTAACTTTGACTCCCTATCTTGAAATTAAAGTTACTTACTACTGCCATGTCATTCTTTAGTTTCTCCAATGCGATTTCACACTTCTGTAGTGTTTTAAGTGGACATCTAGTGGAGGACAGCAATAACCTTAACCACAAGCCAAAGATCTGACACGGAGACGATGTTCAACATGTCTGCTTTCTTACCTTGTGTTGGGGTCAGTCAAAATATTCAGCAAACTTTTCATTTTGCTCAAATCCTTCTTCCTATCTGTAAAGACCAAACATAAACCATGATCTTTAAGATTAAATGGGGGAGAAAAAAAATCAGCATCAAGAGAAAAAGACTCCAGTACCTTCATTTTTGTCTATTTTGTTAATCATCCTGCGTAGTGGCTCAATATATTTTGACAGCTGCTTCAGTTTGTCCATGTAAAGCTGGTCCTCAGATTGTGAGGCCCCTGCTGGGCTCATCACAGAGCTTGGATTGCCTGTAATCCGAAAAATCAAACCAATCAAATAATTATGGTCGCAACAATTTAAATTCTGGCCATCTCTGATAAGCAGATAATTATTTTTATGTCATGGTCGATAACCAATAAATGGCAAAAATGTTTACTTCAATTAAGAAAAAAAATAAAAATCATTCATTTTAAATGCTACAACTGAATTTAGGCATCACAAAATTGTAATGTGAAGTTTCACTTTGAGATTTGCTAAAAAAAAATTACATTTAAGAGTGTTATTAAATTGATAAGTTTTTAAAGATTAACTTTAAGGCCCTGTCCACACGAACGCGGTTATTTTTAAAACTGCAGCTTTTTCTACGCGGTTAGGCCGTTCGTCCACACGCAAACGCTGTACCAGTTCACTGAAACCAAACATTTTTGAAAACGCCTGACAGGGTGAAGATTTTCAAAAACTCCGGTTGCAGTGTTATCGTGTAGACAGCGAAACCGGAGTTTTTGGCTTGTGACGTCAGAGCATGTGCTGTTATCTCCGCCTACTGGAGACTTTTTCAGGCTTCTGATTGGCCAACATGGCTTTACGGTTGAGATTATAGCGCCACCTGTTGGTTTGGCATGCTCTTGACAGTGCTTCATAGCATGCGTTTTCATGTGGACGGAGATTTTTTTTTAAACGGAAGAAGGAAAAACTCAGTTTATAAAAATACCCGTGTACGTGTGGACATGGCCTTAGTGAGAAATAGATGAAGGAAATATAAAGTGAAATTGTAAAAAAACAAGTATGCACAATAATTATTATAATATTATTATTATATTATTACTTTTATTATTATATCACCTTATATATATATATATATATATATATATATATTTCATCCCAATAATGAATCACAATAGGAACATTTTTTTTTTAATTCTATGAGTATAACAAGAAAGCGGTTCTGTACCTGGTGTGTTGAGGGGTCCAGGGGAAGGTACCTGCAGGGGGTAACTCTGGGGGGTGCGTGAAGATGCAGGACTATGGGATGGCTGAGGAGAGGGACTGGGTTGGAAACCTCCCGGAGAAGGGGTCGGACCAGAGCTGGAGGGAAAAAGGTTTAATTAACTATTTGTACTGGTCAATAAATAGTAGAAAAACGAAACTATTTCATTATACCCGACAGAGTTGGGCTGAGAGGAAGGAGGCTGGGGGGACGGTTGAGGCTGGGGGGGAGGTGGCATCGGCTGGGGCGTCTGCACCTGAACTGGGGAGGGTGATGACATCATTTGCTGACCCTTTGGAGAGAAGGAAAATTAAAACAGGTTCAAAGTAACCACATGAGTGGAGGAAAGCTGGCACTGCACTGGTGAAGCCAGTTACCTAGAGATAACACATGCATGCGGTCAAGATCAGCTTGCTTTGACTGTACAGCACCAGTAGATGGCGCTATATAACCAGTAGATGGTTGCTTCCTATTAGCTTCCTAGCATGTCACTGAGAGAATAACAAACTCCAGTCCACTTACCTGTGCCACACACTTTTCATTTCAATTTTACACTGTTTAAGTGCTTCTGGGTCATTTCTGACTAATTGTTTCTGATTGTGAAACTAGTGGGGGGTAAAGAGAGGCAGATGAGTGTGGATTATGGACAGCCTTCGCTCTAGTGGAAAGCCAGACGTACGCACCCACTGGGTTGCAGCGCTGAGACCCAGCACTCAGCCCTGCGGTAAATACCTGTGGCATTTGCTGTCCTCCAATGGCAACGGGGTTTTGAGGAATGGCAGAGTTTGGGGTGGCGCGGGGCAACCGGGGTGGAATTTGCATCCCAGGACGGGGCATCATCTTTGAGGACGACAGAGGGTACAACAGACATGTCACAAGCAAAACAATAAATGCAGTGCATCAGCGGACATGAGGAAGCACATGCAAGAATGCAAACAGAAACAGATTCGACAGGTCTGCAAGCACAGATGCACATACCGTCACATTCAATTATGCAAAACAAGGCTCTCCAAAAATAAAGATGTGGCAGTGAGCTTCCTCTCATTTCTCTCGAACATGTAAAAGAATATCCAATACAAGTTAAGCTCAATTGACAGCATTTGTGACAATGATTGCTACTACAAAAATAAATTTTTGACTTACAACAGAAGTTAATGGGGCCAATCGATTACAATACTAAAAACAAATGTACGATATTAACATAGCATGAAAAAAAGTTGCTTGCTTATGTTTAGGTGTAACTTTAACCAGAAAAGTAACACCTAAAATGGTTGTAAAAATGACAAGAATAACTTTACAGCTCAAATAACATTTGATGTAAAGGAATGTTCCTTTAACAACACTGGTTGTCAAGACAAGGCAAGCCACAGGCCAATGGATTTCATGCCATCTTTTCATGTACCAGAACCATGCAAGACAAGAAAAGATGCAATGGGTCCTTATGCATCTCCAACAACAAGCCTTTTGACTGTAAATTAAAGCTGTAGTTGAGCTTGCCATCTAATGGCTTTGAGAGCGGTCAAACGACATGTAGTTGCTATGCAACTATCAATACCGTCCTTCAAATAGATTTAGAAAATAATTTAAAGGCCCAAAGGACAATATTAGAGTATGCTACCAATCATTGCAAACTATTTACACAGCTTTGTGTAGGCTAACCTAAAAAGGAATGCATTTCTTGTCTGGTGCATGCAGAAAGTGCTTGTGGGTTCAAAATAGCAAGCATGCAGTCAGGCTGTTAGCTGCACATACACACAAAATGCAAATGAGGCTTAAAACTAACGCTACTCAAACAAACTGACTGCTCTGTTGGATTTCACAGCTCTGCAATAGAATACAGATTTCCATCTCTTGATTTAGAATAAACCATGGCCACACATATGGGACAAGGTGAATGGAAGCAACATGAAGCAAGATGTTATCATCCGCCGAATGCTCACAGATGGGAGGGTTACCATTGAGGGAGAGATCTGACTAAATGTGTTTGAGAAAGTAAGACAGGCCACTAGTTTAGCTTTATACATATATATATGCGTGTAAAAACAGGATATGCTTTATATATACCTGCGAATGGCAAGTGCTAACAAAAATAGCATAAATATCCTCCAGAATGCATTTGTAGTAAGAAGTGTTGGACATTTATTAAGTAAGATTAGCTGTAGAACTAACTACCCTTTCAAGCAGTGAGATTTTTTTTTCAGAATCAGTATCAACCTGTATATTTTACACACATACATATACACAGTGGTGTGAAAAAGTGGTGGCCGCCTTCCTGACTTATTTTTTTGCAAGTTTGTCACCAGGTCCTATTTAAGAGATTTCTTGATTGCGAACAGGTGTGGCAGTAATCAGGCCTGGGTGTGGCTAGAGAAATTGAACTCAGGTGTGATAAACCACAGTTTTAACAGGGGGGCAAACACTTCTTCACACAGGGCCATGTAGTTTTGGATTTTGTTTTCCCTTAATAAAATCCTTCATTTAAAAACTGCATTTAGTTTTTACTTATTATCTTTGACTAATATTTAAATTTGTTTGATGATCTGAAACATTAAAGTGTGACAAACGTGCAAAAAAATAAGAAATCAGGAAGGGGGCCAACACTTTTTCACACCACTGAATATAGGGGTCAAAGATGAGACATTCCATTTTGATGTCCACATCAAATTAAATTTATAAAAGTGATTTTATATTTTCATATTAAAAGAATAAAAGAAAAGGCAAAACTAAATGTTATTATTTATTAGTATTTTAATTTTAAATTATTAAAAACTTCTGAAAAATGGGTAAATTCTAGTGGTTTGAAGGGTAGAGGTAAAAAATTGGTAAAGCTTTAAAATTACAATTCATTAGTTTTTGAGGGCTGCACTGTGATGCTTAAAGAGTATTTTAATGTCATCTAATGATTCTTTTTCTAAATATGCCTGACAAGATTTTTTGGGTTATATGAACTACATTTTAGTGGGTGTCTTATGTAAATCGTAGTAAAAACGTACAATAGTAATTATTTTTGGTTGTGTGTGTGTGATATATATATATATATATATATATATATATATATATATATATAGACCAGAGAAGAATGAGGCTCACCGCTGTGGCCCACAACTTAACCTCTGTTGACAAAAATAATATTGATGTATAAATCTTCTGTTGTTATTAGGACATGTGCATTACACTACGGCCCATCACCAGGCAAGGAATAAAGAGTTTTGACATCTAAAAGAAATTCAAGTGTTGATTTTGGTTGCATGCCATCACTCCACCACGCTCAGTCTCTTATCTCAATCCTCACCACGGCTTGCACTGGGCTTACCTGGCCAGGGACTGCGCTGAGCTGGCCCTGTTGAACCTGCTGCTGCTGCTGCTGCTGCTTTTGTTGTTGTTGTTGTTGTTGTTGTTGCTGCTGTTGCTGCTGCTGCTGCAATACTCTCGCCTGCTTGTATAAACGCAACCAAACAGGAAGGTATAAAAAGACATTGAGACTACAAGGTGTAATATGCATCTCATCTGACCACATCAATCAAGACGGATGTCAATAATCAAAAAGTGTTTATTATCAATCATTTTGCATTATGATTGCATTCTGCTATGGCAGTTGAGTTTACCTGCATTACCTGCTGGAGTTTCAGATGTTGCTGCTGTTGTTGGCTGAGTGAGCTGATGGGTTGATGCTGTCCAGGAACCATTTGTGCTAATGACTGGGGCACCATTACTTGCTGCTGCTGTGAGTGAGGGGGCATCTGACCTGCCACTCCCTGAGCCTGTACCTGGGCTTGACCTTGAGCTTGGACCTGAGCCTGGGCTTGAAGGTGCTGTTGCTGCATTTGGGCCTGGGCTTGAGCCTGAGCCTGGGCTTGAGCCTGAGCCTGGGCTTGAGCCTGAGCCTGAGCATGGACCTGTTGTTGGTGCAGTTGCTGCTGCTGCTGCTGTTGTTGGTGGTGTTGTTGCAGTTGCTGCATTTGTGCTAACTGCTGCTGCTGCATTCTTGTTTGGTGCAACTGGAGTGAAAGCCATTAAAACAAATAAATAAATGAGAAATTAAATCACCAAAGGAACTCAGTTTCCACTAGGGCTGGGTATTGACAGAATATTAATCCATTTGATTCCAATTCACAAACTCTTGATTAAATTCCGATCTATCTACTAATAGCATACACTATACAGGGAATCGTGAGATTTGGTACATTACTACAATATTAAAGGTTAAAATAACACCCTCCAAAATCAAACGTCCTGTTTTACAGAATATGGAAGTTTGTGCATAACCCCACTGATATTTAGAAATAATCATCAATACTCAAATAAAAACAGTTGTACAAAAACATTTAAATTGCACACGTTTACTTAACCAGCTAGTGATGTTTTCATTTATTTAAACAAATTAAATAAAACAAGTTAGCCATTATTTAAATCATTATATTTCAACAAGAAACTGAAGTAGAAATAGAACTTCATCATTAAAAAGTTGATATACTGCCTTATGTACTATTTAAATGTTTTTATTCAACTCAGTTTTTTATTTGAGTACTGATTGAAAAAAAACTGATTACTGGATAGCAGGTGTGCTACAAAAAGTGTTTAGTGAAGTTCTTTTCACGCATCAACAGAAAACAGCATAGACGGTTCATCTGAAAATCTCCCAAAAGAGGGGAAATTATCAGTGATTACTGATTGAAAGGGGTCCTATTATGCTCTTTTACAAAGTCTTGATTTTGTTTTGGGTGTGTACTAGAACAGGCTCTCATACAAAGTTGTTCGAAAAACACATTATTTTTCACATATTTTACATTATTACAACACCTCTCTCCCCAGTCTGGCATGAATGGCTGGAATAGTTCCTGTATCCAATGAAGGCCCGCCTTCTGAAATGCGAAATGTGCTGTGATTGGCTCCACTCGGCGCCTGGTCGGGAAATGTCACGCCCCTAACCATAGCCGCCTGCGAGCTTCAGTGTAAATATTGCTCAAAATCAAATCAATTTGAGCGAGATTTAAACCCGGATGATTGTAACCACTCTAAGTTCATCTGCCTGGGGGAAAGCTAGCGTGTCTCCGACTAGTGATAACACTCGGTGCCTTCTCTAGTGCAGCTCAACCAGGTCTCGTCCCATTCATCGATATTTGTGATATCACAAATCCCGGAAAATATGCGTTGTAGTCCAAACGAGTCGTTCATTGTAGTTTTTGAAAAGTGATTTCTGTTAAATAAAATATCTCCTTTTGAAGTGGACTTCGAGCTTTGTAACTTTGCAGATCTTTTTTTTTATGCTCAAACAGCAACATTACAGACTAACTAAAGTTGAAAAAGTGAAAAACGCATAATAGGACCCCTTTAAATTTTAATCATATATATATATACACACATACATATATACATACATACACACGGTTACAGATGACTTGGAATAAGTTGTACAATTATGACAAATTATTAGAGAATTTTCTGTTTTACGTAAACAAACCCTTTAATTCAAAAGACACTCATGCAGTATTCAAACAATCATCACATTAATCTTTCCATTCTCCATTACCTGGTTCTGTTGTTGCTGCTGAGTCTGCACCTGCTGCTGTTGTTGATTTTGATGCTGCATTTGTGGATTCTGATGGTGCTGCCTTATCTGTTGGAATTGCATGGCAGTCTGCATAGCTGCTGGCTGCTGAGGTGGCATGGCTGGCTGTTGCTGAGACTGGAACTGCTGAAACTGAATGGACGGCTGCTGTTGCTGCTGCTGCTGCTGCTGCATCATCGACATCTGCCCGGCAGCCCCTGCTGAGATTGATATTGCATCACAGGCAATGTATGGGAATTAAAAATAAGATTATTAAACACAATTTCTCCAATCAGCTGACAGCTATTGAACTTACCAGCCTGCTGGCCTCCCGCTACTCCCTGCATGGCATGTTGACCCATTTGCATTTGCCCCATACCACCCATTTGTGCACCAGGGGGCCGTGGTCCAATGCCAATAACTCCAGGACCACCTCCACCCACTCCTGGTATAATTTGCAGGGCATTCATGGGGTCTAAAAATAAACAGAAATTTTGAAATTTGGCAGAAGATGAATTCTTACAGTTTAATAGGGGACATAAGAAGATTTAAAATAGCTCTTTAAATTTACCAGGCCCACCTTGTGACTTTTTATCTGTAATGAAAAACAAACTGATTAATATACAGTACACATACAAACATCACAGCTAAAAGAAAAAAGTTAACAATGAAAACATAGTATATTGGCTACTTACGGATGTCTCTAAAATGAATTATCAGTCTCGCAACTAAAGACAAATACTCCTCCTGTTGAAAAAAGGATAGTATATTTATTGCACTTTTAACAATCGCATACTAACAAGTCTGTACTGTTGGAGTGTAGCATGCACATTTAAAAGTAATATTTACTCTGGTCTTTGCCTTGATAAAAACATGGTTTTCCATGTCAGTACTGGACTTTGTGTGAGCAGTTCCTGCTTTTCTCATGGCTTCATCTCTGCAATATAATAAAGCAGAAGTCTGTTTTATCACAACTGATGCATGACAAACAAGAAATGTTACCTATTGTTTACTGACTATCAATCATTTAAGAAATATCAAGAACATGAGCACTATTAGAAGAGCTGTTTTCCATTTATTGCAACAATGAAACATTTCCTAGCAAAAAGATAAAACATTCTATTAGAGATTTCAATACATGAATTCTGAAATTAAGTGTATTGTTATCTTAGAAGCATTACTCCATAGTCTTACAAGCTTTGAAGTTCTTCAAATAAATTAAATATATTATCAACATATTTAGCTGTATTTATGAATGTAACATAAAATAATAATTATAAACTTATAGCTATAGCTCAGCCAAAAATAAAAATTCTAACCCTTAAAATGTACTTGTTCCAAACCTGTATGATTTTCTTTCAGCTGAAAGAAATTTCATTTTGAAGAATGTTGGCAACCTGACATTTGATAGTAGCCATGGACTTCCATAGTATGAAATAAATGGATTTCATAAATGGAATACTATAGAAGTCAATGGCTACAGTCAACTGTTTGGCTACCAATTCTTAAACATATATTTTGTGTTTTGTGTAAGAAAAATCATACAGGTTGGGAACAAGTGGAGGATGCATAAATGATGACATAACTTGCAGTATTATCCCATTGACAAAAGGAGCATATGAGTGACTAGGAAGTGAAATGTGGCCAAGTATGGTGTCCCATACTCGGAATTTGTGCTCTGCACTTATCCCATCCAAGTGCACCCACACAGTAGTGAGCAGTGAACACACACCCGGAGCAGGGCAGCCATTTTTGCGGCGGCCGGGGAGCAGTTGGGGGTTCGGTCCCTCGCCCAAGGGCAATTCAGTCGTGGTACTGAGGGTGGAAGAGAGCGCTGGTAATTCACTCCCACCACCTACAATCCCTGCCGGTACCGAGACTCGAACCCGCGACCATTGGGTAACAAGCCCGACTCTCTAACTATTACGACTGCCCCGAGACTATTAGAAGAGCTTATTACGAGCAGCTTATCATCAGAAAGACTGATTAAATATCTTAAAAGTTGTTTTCTTTTGCACACAACATGTTGAACAGTATTTATATCTGCAGACTGTTTCGCTTGTAACGTTACCTATTTGGACTAATATTTAATGAGGCTAACTTTATATTAGCTAGCCGCATAGCTAAACATGCTCCAGACAACCTCAAAATATGTCATCTCATTAAAGGAACATAATACCATGATCAGATTGATACCATATATAAATACACATACAGTCTAGTAATGAAGATTTCGACTGTTTAACAGATGTGCTGGTAACACATCCGAGCATCCGTTAGTTAGCAGCTAACTAGCTAGCTGTTATTTCCAGAATGCGCTAATATAAAACATGCACAAAAAATATTTGTATACTCACATTTGGGCCACTACTTTCTGTCGAAAGGCTATGCTCCTCCAATCACTATCAGGACCGGTGCCCTCCATAACTGATAATGCCGAACAACGTTGAACAAGCTGCTTCCAGTTTAAATTAGCAATGTCCGAATCGTGAATGTATCACCTTACTGAGTCGGATCTTTTCAATGAATCGGTTGAAGCCGCTCACAAAACTAGAGCTGTGTCCCAAAGTGAAGTGCACTGACTCCGAAGGGCGCATTTGAAGTGAGATTGCGTCACAGCGGCGCGATGAAGGCTGTCATGCCCTGCGTCTCAATGTTCATACTATCCATCCTAGTATGTGAGATTAGAATAAGTGTGTCATCCCAAAACATAGTATGTTGAAAAGAGTATGGCCTAGAATATTCGATTTCTACACGTGGGCGGGAATTAAACGCCCCTTTCTGCTGATTGGTCAGCCGAAGATCAAACCGTGCCATCATCAGTTCTTCTGCAGTATCACACAGCAGAATAATAGTCCTCCACTGCTGCAGTTGTATGGATTCTTAACGCATTTATTGCAACTACATTTAGTCTTTTTTCATCAAACAAACAGGCTAATGAATAACTCGACACAACTCATACCTGGGCAGAGTCTAGACAGGCTAAAAGATGCGCTAGTTCAAAACAGTTGCGTTTGATCCTTCGCTGGCTGTGCTGATTTAAATCTAGCAGTTCTGTTGTGTTTGTGGTGCAAGTTCAGTGACGCAGGTAGTGACGATTCTCTCCGGCCAATCCGTGATCAGCAGAGTTTACACGTCACATTTTGGTAACGGTACGGTTCACTTGGAACCTCAACCGAGATGGTACTAAAAAAAGTACCAGGTACTGTACCCAGTGGAAAACCCCCCAAAAGTGAACCATACAGAGCCGTACCATGCAGTGGAAAAGAGCCATAAGTAGGCACATTGAGACGCAGCACCAAACTGAAGTGTGCAGACTCCAAAGTGCGCATTTGAAGTGCGATTGCGTCACAGTGTCACGATGTAAGCTGTCCCAATTCAGAATGCACCCTCCGAAGACCGCATTCCAAGGCCGATTGCGTTACCGCAGCGTGACGAAGGCTGACGTATTTCGAAAGCGACTTCAAATGCACCCTCCATTTCCCAGCCACCCTCTTTTGAGCCAGTGCCCCCGACTGGCCCCCCCATTTGAAATGCTCTAGACACGCCCCTGTTCCCAGAAAAATGGGACCCTACCATATCCCAGAATCACTTGCGCGCAGATGATGATGGAATTTATATTCAAAGAACATGGAGGATGACAGTTCTGTGGGGGAATTCACATTGAAATGTAAGAATTGTGTTTTCATTTACTCAAATACCTAGCGAAACAAGTGTTAAAAGTCAGGGTTTAAAAAAAACTAAAAACAAAGCCCACAAACAATAAGACAACCACTATATAAGGCAATAGTCTTTCTTTTTGTTGTGTTTTTGTAGTGCTGTCTTGTCTACAAATGTTTTAACCAAACTTTAGCACTTCAGTATTTTGTATGCATGTCCTGCTGTGTCATATTTTCTAATGTTAAGACTGCAAACTTGTCTTTATATTTTTCATGTGTATCCATTTTCTCTTGTTTTAGGACTATTCTGGAGAAAATGAGTCTGCTGGGGAAAGACTTAAAAAATACAAAGTAAGCAAGTTAATAGAGAGATTTTTGATTAAATTCATTGTGCTGTTGTTGTTATCAGGCATGGTTTATTTGCTCTGCCTTAGGATTGCAAGTGTCCTGGGACAGGTGAGGGAGTGAGTGGAAGCTAGTGGAGCTACTCAGGGAGGACATCAAATTCTCTCTTACATCAAGAGAGAGACAGAGGAGAGAAGAGCACAGGAGAACAAGGAGAGAATGGAGGGACTGTTTTCTCTTCTTGAGAGAATGCTTAACAAATACGTTATTTATTAGCCAAGAGAAAACAGTGGGGAAAGACAATGTGACTTTTTTTTAATGTCACATTGTCAATGGAACAACCTCATTTCTGTAGTTTATTTTTGGTTCAAAATTAAATTAATAAGTTGAATACATTATTCATTTTTGTAGTGTAATTTATTTGTAAATGAGCCCTTTCTGCAAAGAGTACTTTCTGTACATTTTGTATTTTTGTTTTGCATATTCACATGTGTAAATAAAAGAGAAGTAATTATGTACATTGTTAATTTTTTAATGCAGTTTATAGTTTTCACAAAACATTATTCTATACATTTATTTTTTTTGTCCTGTAAATACATTTTTACACATTTAAACAAATTGTTCTATACATTACTGAAAGTAATTTTTGCAACTATTTACAACATACAACATACTATTTACAACATAGCTTAGGTTTAACATCAGAAAAAAAACATAAATTTTGAGCCCAGCCCTGCCTCCATGTGTTCTGGGGTCTTCGGGAGGTCAATCTCTTGGTGAATGGCCAGCACCTCCTCAGCGACTCGGAGGAAAATGCGGTGACAGTGGAACGAGGCATGTCAAACACTCTGGAGACCACTCTGTATGATGTAACACTGACCAGACAGAAAAGAAACACCAGGGTCTGGATTGTGGCACCCCATCCGTGTTGCCGTTCACTACTCAGAAGATCCAGCAGCACTGTCAGGGCCTCCCTGCTCTGCCGAAAACGGTTAAAAAAACCTGTCCAGCGCTGGCACATTCAGCTTTATCCTGCAGTACAGGGGTCTGGTCTGACTTAGGGAAAGAAGGAAAAGAGAAATTGTTTAGAGCTATGACAAAGTAATTAGTGGAAGACATTTTGTGATACTTTAGTAAACTACTTTTAGTAACTAGACCAAGACCATATTGGGGAAAAGTTACTAGTCATATTTATAACCTTAGCTAAAGGGATAGTTCACCCAAAAATTTAAATTCCAAACCTGGAACAACTTGAGGGTGAGTAAATGATAACAGAATTTTCATTTTTGGATGAACTATCCTTTAAGTAAAAATGTTATCTTGCATACTCTAATATACTTAAGGTATTGAGAGTAAAAGTAAAGGTATACAGTATTGTTCTGAAAAAATAATTTGTTAGGATGGGTTTGCATTAATATTACTGCCGCACTAATGTGTATGTTGTATTTTACTTCTGAATGTTCAAGGTTATTACATTTTAAGTTGCCTACTTCATATACTGTTGGGTAGTTTAATCTACAACAATGCATTATGTTGTAAAATACCATATTTTTAGTGTTGCTGTCAGTGAGAAAAAAAGAAAACTTAGTACTTCATATTTGTTCAAGAATACTTAACGAATGTACTTCCTTACAGTCCACCTATGGTTATTTTGAAAATGAAAGTATCAACATTTTGTCACAATATTAAAGGGATAGTTCACCCAAAAATGAAAATTTGATGTTTATCTGCTTACCCCCAGGGCATCCAAGATGTAGGTGAATTTGTTTCTTCAGTAAAACACATATGATGATTTTTAAGTCCAACCGTTGCAGTCTATCAGTCGTATAATGCATGGCAATGGTAACAAAATCTATGAGAGTAAAAAAAACATGCACAGACAAATCCAAATTAAACCCTGCAGCTCGTGACGACACATTGATGTCCTAAGACACGAAACGATCGGTTTGTGCCAGAAACCGAACAGTATTTATATCATTTTTTACCTCTAATACACCACTATGTCCAACTGTCTTTGGGTGAGCACACGGCATCCGGTGCGTGAGGTGTGTACGCGTTCTGGCGTAGTTTACGTTAATGGGTGTGTTGATATCCAGCCGAAGAGCAATCAACCATAACTTCAGGCGAGCAGGCTCAGAAGTTGGGAATACATGGAAAGTCACCACTCCCGAATGAGTTCGCGCGAGAGAACGTAATCTTTTAGTTTTAAGTCGGTTTGAACAATCCGGATAAACGCAAGTACTGTAAGTACCATTTTGATTAGCCGTCGTACCTACAATGACTGTGCACTGTGTAAACAATGAGTGACGTATACGTGCGAGAGATCACTTCCGGCGCTTGCGTAAACTACGCCGGAGTGCGTACACACCTCACACACCGGATGCCGTGCGCGCACCCAAAGACAGTTGGACATAGTGGTGTATTAGAGGTAAAAAAT